TAAGTCATATAAACACAAATTTTCCTAATTATGATAATAATTGAAGTACTAATCTACCAGGGTCTCTAATGAGTGTCACTTAATACTAACAGGTCACAAATATCACAGCATTTACTAGTTGTATGATTTTAGGCAAGGGGCAATGAGAGTTCCTCAGTAAGTTTTTAAGATAGAAATGATGCTTATAAATATAAAAAGAAAGCAAACAAAAAAAGTGTAAGTGCCCTCAAGTATAACCTTTAGTGTTGTTACTTGCCACTGTTACATAGAAATGCCAGCTGGAAGAGATAACCTTTATATTTCTGGATTTCTAAACTTCCTGCCATTTAAGTTTTTATTATTTGAATTTAAAACTGAAAGCCACAATAATAATAGGAATCTAGAGAGAGGAGTTCTTTTAAAGCGGGAAATGTGAACTCGGGGGTAAGCCAGGGCCTCTCTGATAATAAAGCAGACTTCTTAGAGAAGGGAACCCTGAGCTGTGGCTGCTCTACCTGAGGCTGTGCCTTGCACACTTATTTACAAATCAATTTAGCAGAATTCCCAAAAGGGAGGGGAGGGAAAAGCAGAGCCTAGATAAAAATGCAAAGATCCTTAAGCCTGAAATCTAGAAGAACATATTCATTTGGCTTTAAATAAGGCCATAGGCTGAGTTTGAAATTGATTTTTTTGTCTGGGGTAAGTATATTAATAGGTACAGAATCATTCTTTGCTTTTGTTTGTTTGTTTGCTTTGGGATATTAGGTATTAGTATTTAGAGAATTTAGCTTTCAAGATTTCCCACTTTAGAAATTAGTGAAATATGGATTAAAATGCCATATATATTTCACCATTTCTGTCAGTTTTTAATTCAGTGCTGCATGGAACAGGTGAAATGTATCAACGCTTTTATGGATATGATTTCTATGTATTACATTATTAGTTTAGTGCCTTTACTTTTCTACTGAAGGCTTTACATTTTAATCTTATTTTTGTAATGATTTTATTTTTCAGATTATCTATGTTCTAAACTGCATGCATAGAACCAGGGATGCTAAATTTAAAAACAAACAAAGAAAACAATGAGCACTCTAGTTATTTTAGAAATTATTTATTTAAAACATTTTTTTATTATGGTGCATCTCAGAGAACTTAATATTTTATTGTGCACTGTAAATCTCCAGGTTGTTATATCTAGGTTTCCTACAATTTATTTTAACACCTTTCCTTTATTCTTGTCTACACTTAGTATTGAAATATCTAGAGATTGGTTTTGTAGAAAAAGTAATGATAATGTGCATGTACATACACTGAGTGGCCAGATTATTATGATCTCGGAACGCAAAATAATCTGGACACACACACACACACACACACACACACACACACACTACACACTGAATATATATATTAGAGGAGGCCTGGTGCATGAATTTGTGCATGGGTGGGGTCCAGCCAACATGGCCAGGGGGAGGGAACATGAGCATTTGGTTGGCCAACCTGCCTGCTGGTCAAACTCCTGGTTGAGGGGACAATTTTTATATTAGCCTTTTATTATATAGGATTATATAGATATACACTGATTGGCCAGATTATTATGTGTTCAGAGATCATAATAATCTGGCTACTCAGTGTAGTAAGGTATGATTGTTTTGACAGATCACTCCTACTTTGTTTATGGTGGGACCAAATATATGACTTTGTTTTCGAATAAAATGTTTGATCATAATGATAAATAATGGTATGTTTAAACAAAATGATCAAAGTGGCTGTGTGTATGTCCCTGAGTTGATAGTAGATACTTCTTTTATATACATACCATATAGAGTCATTTAACTAACTAACAACAGAACTGGTTGTTAGATTTTTGCCCCTTCAAATTTTTTAGTTGTAAATGGTTTTACATATATTTATAGATGAAAGTACTAAAGAGGTGAATATGATATGATTTATATTAATTAATGAAAGCATTAAACTTATCATTTTGTTGTACTAAATTCCAAAATGATAAAAGATAAATACTTGTGTTGGTGTAACTCTAGTTTGTGAATTCATCTTTAAAATATAACTTAGTTAGGAGCCTTTTTTCCCCCCCAGAAATGAAATTGTCTCTGAAGAAGAATACAGGACTTTGCATTGTGAAATTTGCTTTTTAGTCACAGTGATCAGATCATCATTCAATTCACACAAAAGAATTAAACCTAGAGAATATGCCACATTTGCATGGTGTCTAGTTCCAAAATGCCTCCCACACAAACTTAAAATGAATGCAGTTACTGCTTCCGCAGTGCTACTGAGAGATCAAAATAATATGCTGCTCGCCAATATATGATAAAAACTCTGTATTACAGTTTAGAGAGCACATTTAATGTAAATGTGTAGTTCATTTTTATTTCATAGTATTATTATAAGTGCACTTCAGTATTCCTAAGTGGGTTAATTCACCTTATACTCTGGTAGAAATGGGCCTCATTTATGTACAGAACAGATGCAATATAACATGACGAGGTAACTACCTCTAAGTCAGTGACCTCTTTCTGCATTTTATTTTCTTTACCTGTTGGCTAAAAAGGGAAATTATCCCCTATTGGTCTCCATATTCATTGTCATGGCAGCTTTGTGATGGCATGTATAAGGGATCTTGGAAAGTAGAATGAAAGCTATTGAAACAGCCTAAAGTCACACATCTGTGTGGCTATTGGCTTTATCAGGCTCTGCCCACTATCCATTTGGGGTCTGAAAAAATAGGGTGATATGGGTTGACAAAGGTTTGGAAGCTTAGCTGGATTAGGGGACTTGGAGAAGTGTGTGTGTGTGTGTATGTGTGTGTGTGTGTGTGTGTGTGTGTGAGAGAGAGAGAGAGAGAGAGAGAGAGAGAGAGAGAGAGAGCGAGAGAGAAAGAGAGGGAGGGAGAGAGGGGCTGGGAGAGAAGTCTTGTACCATTTCCTATTGCCTTTCAAACTACTATTTGATAATAGGTTCAATTTTCAATTTTCAGAAAAGAAAGTATAACTTTAAAAGTATAACAGTTACACCCATGTATTTTTGTTTTGTTTTGTTTTTATCATTGTAACTGTTTAATATATATACCACCCTGCCTATGGCTTAGTATATAGAAGGCACTTAATAAATGCTGTGTGCTATTATTTCTATTTAGAAAAGTACAGTAAGAGTGCCTAGATAACCTAATAGGAGTTGTAGTTCTACCTACCAGTGAGGGGAGACCATGAGTCAACTGGATCTGATGATTTGAAATACACAAGAGGGCCGAAGCTGGTTTGGCTCAGTGGTAGAGCGTCGGTCTACGGACTGAAGGGTCCCAGGTTCGATTCCAGTCAGGGGCATGTACATTGGTTGCGGGCACATCCCCGGTGGGGGGTGTGCAAGAGGCAGCTGGTCGATGTTTCTCTCTCATCGACGTTTCTAGCTCTCTGTCTCTCTCCTTTCCTCTCTCTAAAAAATCAATAAAATATATATATTAAAAAAAAAAAAAAAGAAATACACAAGAGGAAGTGAGATTTGTCAATGACTTGTTTAGGGTAGTTAACAAACTACAGAGTATCACAGGTGACCATTAGAGCATTATTTCATATAGGCCATGCTTAATTTTGATGTGTGTCTGGCCAGTCATGTCTGAAATATTTCCACCCATTGGGATCACTCTCATAAGAACTTTGAATCTGATGATAGTTAAGAGTTCCATTCCTGGCTGATCTGGCTCAGTTGGCTGGAGTGTTATCCTGTACATTGTCGGTTTGAGGTCACGGATTCAATTCCCAGTCAAGGCACATACCTAGGTTGTGGTTTTGATCCACATTTGGGTTGGGTTCCGGAGGCAACAGATCAATGTTTCTCTGTCCCTTCCTCTCTCTAAAAATAAAGAAGCATATTTATTTTTTTAAATGCCATTTTAAAAAAAGAGTTCCAAAGTTTATAAGTATTCCCCAGAAATCATGGCTATATATGTGACATTTAAATCATTTGGGGGGGAAATTATTTATTTTTTGCCACATGAGATATGGATGGTATGCCAACAATGACTAAAGGAGTGTGAGGCTCATGTTAACCTTATTTCACATGTGCTGCAAATGGAGAATCTATAATAGCCAACATTTATGGACTTCTAAATATGCCTAGCACTGACTGTGCTAAGTTAATTTCATGAATTATCACTTTTAAACCTCATAACAACCTTAAAAAACACAGATAAGTAAAGAAGTTGTACATATATTAAGAAGCAGATCAGAAAATTTACCTGACTCTTAACAGTTGAGAACCACTAACGTGAACTGTAGGACAAAGCTTGATAAGGAGACATTATGTCTTATTAAAGCTGGATTATTGATATTGTGTATTTGGTGTTACTTGTCATGTCCCGTGGAATGGGGTAGAGAGAGATAACTGATATGCGGCCAAACTCTTTGAATCTCAAATAATAAATCCATAGAATATACGTATCTATTAGGGAATCAATAAATTGTTATTGAATGCATTGATAGCTCTATCTATTTGAATTCTTAGAAAGCAGGAATTGTATACTACTAAACTTGTAAAGTAGAAAAGATACAAAACATAGCATAAAGTTAATGTTGGATAATGGCGCATCATTTATTTTCAGAGCTGATCCTCTGACCAAGTCTATTTTGAAGTCCATGTATGCCAAGGGTGCAGACACACTTCTGTGTAAGATAGGTGGCATTTATAATAACTTGAGTTTTGATAAACCTTTAATTATATTTTAGGATTATCAAACTGAGACAATTGTTGATCCTAAATGAGAAAAACAGTTAATATGCATACTCTAATAGATACATTTATTATTCCCTTATCACAGTGAGCTTTGAGTTTATTGTTTTCTATTTTTTGACAAAGTAGAAATGCCTTTTCTTAAAAAAAAATTCTTTTTATAATGTGAGCAGTAGATTGAAGCTGTACAGATTGGCTCTTTAATGAAGTAGGCAACATTCCAATGGAACTGACAAGCTTTATTTCTATTTGTTGTATTCTTTTTCTCATTACAGATGGACCCGATTCAGAAAGCTGTAATAAATCATACATTCGGGGTTCCTCTTCCTCATCGAAGAAAGCAAGTCATATCATGCAACATTTGCCAGTTGAGATTTAATTCTGATGTAAGTTTATCATTTAATGTGCAGTAAAAAAAAATGTATTATGATGTTCTGATCTTGCAGAAGAGATTTCTTAAACATTTTTCTCCAATAATAGAGCATGCCAAAATTTAGAGATAACATTTTAACTTCCTGTATGCTTTAACTTTGGAGTTTATTGTATCATGTTTGGTTGTTTACTAGGGAAAAAAACACTCACATATATAATCTTATATACTTCCTGTTTAATGATATTGTTTTAGTCTCTTGAGAATACTAACTGTAGGTTATCAGCTTTCCTTTTGGGAAATAGTTAAATACAGGACCAGTAAGGTTTTCAATAAATTACACCTCTGAAATAAGATAGGTACCAAACTATATTTCAAGTTCAAGATTTTAGTTTTTTTAAATTCTATTTGCCTGCCTTGGTGGTCCCCAGTTCTAGATCAGTCCTGTGTCCTTAATTATTTTATGCTAGAGTCCTCAAGTATTATCATTTTAACAGGGGTTCTAAAGTCCTCAAAGCCCCTAATAAATAAAACTGAAGTGGAGGACATGGCAGATGTTAGACAATTGTAGACTGACAAATGCTTTGCAAATTATTCGCAGTTATTCACACCGATGTAAAGATCAGGGAAGACTCTTAGTTCATCACCATCAAGTTAATTTCAGCTCATGGACAATGTGAAAAATATGGCTCCTCACAACCTGCTTTTGTGTGGAGTTGGTCCTGAGAAATATAGAAAAGCGCAGGAATGTTGGTTTGGAAGGAATATGAATTGACCACTTAGTGAATACTCTAAGCAAATAGAGAACTTCATCCTATCAAAATAGCCCCTCCAAGGTGTCAGCATCTTGTCCCACTATTGATATGCATTGTGGACATGACCAACAGATCTGGGCTCTGAAGAATGTTTGGCCATCTAGTATTTAATCTCCTGGGCTACCAGGTTTCTTGGGTACTCAGTGGTGAGGATACCAGATAATCAGGAGCAGGAAATAAGACGGAGCAGATAATGGCTTTTTTCTTCTCTGAAAACATTTCATTTTGTATAAAGATCGCTATTATCCTATGAACTCATACCTATTAGTACAGTACAATCTTCAGGTAGTTTTATAACATTCTGTCTGCTGGCTTAAAAAAAAAAGACAAGGTAGGTTACCTGCACTGCATCTGAAAGGTATTTGCTGCTATAAAAATATACACTAAACATACTGCATTTGACTTGGAGGGACGGTTTTTGTTTTGTTTTGTTGTTTGTTTTTTAATACTGAGCTCTTTGGTTTGAATTTTGAGAAATTTACTATAGTTTAATTCGTTAATCAATAGTATTTTCAAGGGATCAATATTAAATAGCAAACTCTTCCAGCTATTGTAAGAAAAGGAAAAGGAGGAGGCTGACATATAAATAAGAGGTGAGAACTCAGTGCCGTTGACCCTTGAATAACACAGGTTTGAACAATGTGGATCCACTTTACATGAATTTTTAAATAAATATGTACATTGCTGTATATACATTTTTCTCTGCCTTATGATTTTATTTTTTATTGTTTAAAGTATTAAAAATAGTAGTACATATGTCATGATTTTCTTATTTACATCTTTCTCGAGCTTACTTTATTATAAGGACACAGTATGTAATTCATACAACATGTAAATATGTATCAGTAAACAGTATATGTTATCAGTAAAGCTTCTAGTCATCAGTAGGCTATTAGTAGTTTTAGGGAAGTCAAAGTTATACACAAATTTCAACTCTACAGGGAATTGGCTCCCCTAACCTCTGTGTTGTTCAAGGGTCAACTGCAATTGCAATTTTGATCAGTTTTTAAATAAATATTGATTTTTTTTATTGATTTCAGAGAGGAAGGGTAAGGGGAGAGAGATAGAAACATTAATGATGAAAAAGGATTATTCATCAGCTGCCTCCTGTATGCCCCACACTGGGGATCAAGCCCGAAACCCGGGCATGTGCCCTGATCTGAAATTGAACTGTGAACTCCTGTTTCATAGGTTGATGCTCAACCATTGAGCCATGCTAGCCAGACAGTTTTGATAATTTGTAAACACTCAGTGAACAATCATATAGTTTTGTAATGATGATTTTAAGCAGCTTCTTATTGGTTCCCTTTCTTCTTAAGTCATATTGATATTTTACTCATCTGTTGAGGGCTACTTAAAAGTAACCCCCCTCCCCCAGGCCACCAACAATTTCACTGTCAATATTTTCCTCTGTATTAGGAAAACCACCTGCCAAATATGGGCTAGCTCCTTTGGTTGATGATCACTCACCACTCTAAGACAGTTATTCCTTTTCTTTCTTTTGTATTTTTTCTTATTCAGTGGATATTAATCAAATTCATGTTTAAAGACTTTAGAAATGTTGTCAGGTATGCTTTAGACCAGTGGTCAGCAAACTGTGGCTCGCAAGCCACATGTGGCTGTTTGGCCCCTTGAGTGTGGCTCTTGCACAAAATACCACGGCCTAAGCCAGTCTATTTTGAAGAAGTGGCATTTGTAGAAGTTTACATTTAAAAAATCTGGCTCTCAAAGGAAATTTCAATTGTTGTCCTGTTGATATTTGGCTCTGTTGACTTATGAGTTTGCCAGACATTGCTTTAGACAATACATATATTTTTCAAATATGATTATTAACATAATGCAATACAAAGAACATTAACATACTTCTTTTCTAATATTTTCTTTGTTTCCTTTGCAAGAAAGAATAGCAATTTATCTTGCTAATGAAGTTTCAAGGTGATAGAGGAATCAATATATATTTATTAGGGACAATTACTTCTCCTCAATCTGGGTCATAATTAAGCAAGTGCAGGCATGACCATTCACTACATGATTACTGTATTAATCTTCTATTGCTTATATAAACAAGTTACCACAAACCTAGTGGTTTAAATAAACAAAAACAAAAACCCCACACAGATGTATTACTATATAGGTTTGGAGGTGAGAAGACAGGAATGGGTCTCACTGGGCTGACATCAAGGTGTAGGGATATATTCCTTCTGGCGTGTGTCGAGGAGAAATCAGTTCCTTGCCTTTTTTTTTTCTAGTTTCTGCAGGTGCCCTGTTTCCTTGACTCATGACTCCCTTCAATCTTCAAAGCCAGCAAGATTGACCGAGTCTTTTCTCTCTTACACTTCGCTTCCCTTTGCCATGATTAGGGACCGTTGTCATCACAGTGGGCCCACCTGTCTAATCTAGGGTCATTTTTCTATTTTAAATTCAACTGATTAGCAACCAAATGTCTTCTGCTAACTTAATCCCCTTTGCCATGTAATATAACATATTCATCATTTCCAGGGATTGATGTCATTAATAAATACCATTGTTCTGCCTAGCACGAAGAGTCATTCAGATGTCTGATTTAGGTTTGAATTGGATTTTATAACCCCCTGAATTCATGAGACAATCACTCAGTTCAATTTTGTGGGTCTATATAAACTGAACGCATGTGAATTCACTGCCCTCACAATTTTCCTTATCTTGAACTTGAATGTAAATTCATTATGCAGTGCTAATTTTTAAAACTGAAGTTTTTAAAAATTGGAAGACCCAAGATAATTGAATTTATAAATGACATAGCATTTTAACTGTGATTTATAAGCAAAACATAATTACCGCAAAATTGAAATGCAGGAGTAGAAACCCCTTCAGAGACTTTAAAAATATTCTCTGTAGCATTATTATGTCAATAAAGTGAACAAATATGCTGGAACTATTAGTTTTATTTACTTATTGACCAGTCATATCCATGACTATTAATTTTATATAATATTTAAAACTGAACACCAAGATCAATTGTATTGATTATGTTCATTCACATATAAGAAATTAATCTCTAAATAAAGGGAAAATGCACACTCATACACACACATATACACACGTGTGTATATATTTATATGTATTTAAAATGATCATATATGCGTGTATATATATATATATGATCATTTATATGTAGGATCATTTTAATATCAATAAAATGTATTATAATCTTAATACAACCACCTCTTTGCTTTTTTTCTGATAAATCTGAAATTTATCTTCCTGTTTCCATTCTTAAATCTGGAATCTTTTTGGAAAAGTAACATTGCAATTCCCTTGTGTGCTTGGTTGAATCCTCTATCATGTAGGAAAGTATTTTTGCCTTATGAACCTTTTTACATTTCAAAGCTTTTTCCCCTCCTGGTGAAAATAATAGTTTGTAGTTCTTTTCATCTCTGCATCATAAAAATTCAATTTCCTTTTCCTCTAAGCTTTTATTTATATTTTTAACCCTTTATATTATAAACTTTGTAGTTTGGTGTTATGCTATACCTGTTTCCTGTATAGTTCATTTTCCATTTTTGGCCTTACAAATATCTTTTTAAGATTCCACATTATTTTGTATATACTTTAAGTCAGAGTGCCTTCTCCTGGTGTAGGCTGTTCTTTGAAAGAAAAAAAAAAACTATTCTCAAGATTTATATGAAACACACATGGAGTTATGCCAAAAGCTGCCAATTAAAGACTGAAAGGTTGTAATTTGCCCAGTTATGTTATCAGCATACTAAAATAAGCATAAATTAGCATTGGCCTAGGCAAGTTATTAAGCATGCCTTTGAAAGACAACTTTTAGCAGGGCTGGTGTGGATGTAGGATCAAGTGAGGTCGAGAATGATTACTCAATGACTATAGAATGGAAAGTAAGATCTCAGACCCTAAACTAAGGAATCATAACACGGTAGTATCTAAGAGTCATTATGGATAACCTCCTAACAATAGCATTTCATAATATGGTAGAGACAGTAGAAAACTTCTACCAAATTTCACGTGTGGAAACTGAAGTGTGGAGAGTGACGGGGATTTATACAAGGCCTCACAGGGTCATTGTCCACTTCTCGGATGTCACTGCCTCATCTGGTCCAGGTAGGCCAGCAGTTTGTCCTGAAGTTCCAGTGGATCCTACAGCGATGGCATGAATGGAGATCTGTGTGTTTGCTGCCCAGTGAGGCTGTCTCAGAGG